GAATACAGAGGGTTCACCACAAGATGTAAACCATTGGTGAGCCTCAAAAACAGGAAGGCCAGATTACAGTTTGCCAAACAACATCTAAAAAAGACTTCACAGTTCTGGAACAACATCCTATGGACAGATGAGACCAAGATCAACTTGTACCAGAGTGATGGGAAGAGAAGAGTATGGAGAAGGAAAGGAACTGCTCATGATCCAAGGCATACCACCTCATCAGTGAAGCATGTTGGTGGTAGTGTCATGGCGTGGGCATGTATGGCTGCCAATGGAACTGGTTCTCTTATATTTATTGATGATGTGACTGCTGACAAAAGCAGCAGGATGAATTCTGAAGTGTTTCGGGCAATATTATCTGCTCATATTCAGCCAAATGCTTCAGAACTCATTGGACGGCGCTTCACAGTGCAGATGGACAATGACCCGAAGCATACTGCAAAAGCAACCAAAGAGTTTTTTAAGGGAAAGAAGTGGAATGTTATGCAATGGCCAAGTCAATCACCTGACCTGAATCCGATTGAGCATGCATTTCACTTGATGAAGACAAAACTGAAGGGAAAATGCCCCAAGAGCAAGCAGGAACTGAAGACAGTTGCAGTAGAGACCTGGCAGAGCATCACCAGGGATGAAACCCAGCGTCTGGTGATGTCTCTGCGTTCCAGACTTCAGGCTGTAATTGACTGCAAAGGATTTGCAACCATGTATTAAAAAGTGAAAGTTTGATTTATGACTGTTAATCTGTCCCATTACGTTTGGTCCTTTAAAAAGTGGGAGGCACATATACAAACTGTTGTAATTCCTACACTGTTCACCTGATTTGGATGTAAATACCCTCAAATTAAAGCGGAAAGTCTGCAGTTAAAGCACATCTTGTTTGTTTCATTTCAAACCCATTGTGTTGGTGTATAGAGCCAAAAAGATTAGAATTGTGTCGATGTCCCAATATTTATGGACCTGACTGTATATATTGTGCTGGCCAATTTGCTAGTAAAGGTATAGATTGCTATGAAAAAGAGCTAAAACAGACCTAAACTTATGTTCCAGATTATTGACATAAAATCTGTGCTGTCTGTCTGCAAAAGCATGTGGCTACTGGCTGGTCTCAGGCACTGCTTTACTGTGCATTTTATCAGGGGAGTGTAGGAGGCTTCCCAAATGGAAGTAGTCCTAAGAATGAGGACAATGACCATACCATATAGATCGTGCCGCTGAATCAGCCCACCTGGTTAGGAAAGAGGTGAGAATGCCGAAAACTCTATAAAGCTGCAATGAAAGTCAGTTTTCAAAAAACGCAAATTACACAACAAAAGGGAGTTTTATAAAAATTTTATTTAAAAACCACATTCACTTTATATATAAAATGTTCACGGTGGAAGAAACTATTTAAAGCCGAATTGTCTGGACTCCTCTAGCTGCAGTTGTGTTATTTATTCATACCAAAAATAAAATATAAAGAGATTTAGATCATATCTGGATTTTGTCCACTATCAATAAGCAGAGAAGTAATATGTTGTAAGTAGTGTTGCATTTAAAAACAAGTTGTTTTTGATGCCATATTTAAAAAATATAGTTGCAGACAGGAGCATAATCTAAAATATGGGTCAGATAGTGTTATAGTGTTATATATCTTTTATATTGCATGATTGTTTGAAATCAGAATTAATGATATGGTTGGGGTTAGGACTAGGATTAGTGTGAGGGTTAGGGTTAGGACTAGGATTAGAGTGAGGGGTAAGGTTTGGCTTACTCTAATGGTTGGGGTTAGGACTAGGATTAGTATGAGGGTTAGGGTTAGGACCAGGATTAGTGTGTGGGTTAGGGTTAGGACTAGGATTAGTGTGAGGGGTAGGGTTAGTCTTACGCTAAGGGTTAGGGTTAGGGCTAGGGTTAGTGTTGAGGTTAGCATTCCTTTTTTTTAGGCCAGCACAGGAAGATACATGTTCAAGAATTACACTCCTGAAGAACAGATGCTATTGTCAGCAGAGGAGCTGGGAAGAATGATACTGTTTCTTATTGGGAGGTTGTTGAATTAGAATTGCAGCAGATGTCAAACTGAGTTTGGATATATATACAGTATCTCACACAAGTGAGAACACCTCTGATATTTTTGTAAATATTTTATTATATCTTTTCATGTCACAACACTGAAGAAATGACACTCTGCTACAATGTAAAGTAGTAAGTGTACAGCCTGTGTAACAGTGTAAATTTGATGTCCCCTCAAAATAACTGAACACACAGCCATTAATGTCTAAATCATTGGCAACAAAAGTTTGTACACCCTAAGTGGAAATGTCAAAATTGGGCCCAATTAGCCATTTTCCCTCCCCGATGTCATGTGACTCATTAGTTTTACAAGGTCTCAGGTGTGACTGGGGAGCAGGTGTGTTAAATATGTGTTATCGCTCTCACACTCTCTTATACTGGTCACTGGAAGTTCAACATGGCACCTCATGGTAAAGAACTCTCTGAGGATCTGAAAAAAAGAATTGTTGCTCTACATAAAGATGGCCTAGGCTATAAGAAGATTTCCAAGACCTTGAAACTGAGCTGCAGCACGGTGGGCAAGACCATACAACGGTTTCACATGACAGGTTCCACTCAGAACAAGCCTCGCCATGGTTGACCAATGAAGTTGCATGCACGTGCTCAGCGTCATATCCAGAGGTTGTCTTTGGAAAATTGATGTATGAGTGCTGCCAGCATTGCTGCAGAGGTTGAAGGGGTTGGGGATCAGCCTGTCAGTGCTCAAACCATACGCCACACAGTGCATCAAAACGGTCTGCATGGCTGTCATCCCAGAAAGAAGTCTCTTCTAAAGATGATGCACAAGAAAGCCCGCAGTTTGCTGAAGACAAGCAGACTAATAACATGGATTTCTGGAACTATGTTCCGTGGTCCGATGAGATCAAGATAAACTTATTTGGTTCAGATGGTGTCAAGCGGGTGTGGCAGCAACCAGACGAGGAGTACAAAGACAAGTGTGTCTTGCCTACAGTCAAGCATGGTGGTGGGAGTGTCGTGGTCTGGGCCTGCATGAGTGCTGCCAGCACTGGGAAACTACAGTTCATTGAGGGAACCATGAATGGCAACAAGTACTGTGGTATACTGAAGCAGAGCATGAACCTCTCCCTTCAGAGATGGGGCCGCATGGCAGTATTCCAACATGATCCCAAACATACGTCCAAGACCACCATTGCCTTGCTAAAGAAGCTGAAGGTAAAGGCAATGAACTGGCCAAGCATGTCTCCAGATCTAAACCCTATTGAGCATCTGTGGGGCATCCTCAAATGGGAGGTGGGGGAGCGCAAGGTCTCTAACATCCACCAGCTCCGTGATGTCGTCATGGAGGAGGGGAAGAGCTCTCCAGTGGCAACCTGTTAAGCTCTGGTGAACTCAATGCCCGTGAGGGTTAAGGTAGTGCTGGAAATAATGGTGGCCACACAAAATATTGACACTTTGGGCTCAATTTGGACATTTCTACTTAGGGGTGTATTCACTTTTGCTTCCAACGGTTTAGACATTAATGGCTGTGTGTTGAGTTATTTTGAAGGGACAGCAAATTTACACTGTTATACAGGCTGTACACTTACTACTTTACATTGTAGCAGAGTGTGAGATACTATATATATTTATATGTAGGGCTCAGCATATTAAGTAGTCACTAGCTATTGGTGAGTAAAAATTCACACCTGGTGAATATAAATTGCACCCTCTAGGCTTGGATAGTACCTGGCTAGTGACATAGAACTTGAGATTTTAAGCCTTGCTATAAATATATATTATATATTTTTATATTTACATATTTATCCCACCGCGTGTGCTATACGCCAGTTCATTACCTCCTATATGCATTAACACTGAGCTTTCATTACTTATTTACAGCTAAGCAAACTCAGACTTGATTAGCTTTATTTGCTGAAACCATATTAGGTTTGAGAATCAGGGCTCTGTCCTCTTACTCAATGTAACAGGTTAGCAAATATGTAACTGTCATTGCAACAGGATCTACACATGATTTCTAAGGGAATTAAGAGAAATAGTTACATTGAAGATTGTGTGAAAGACATAATATGTGCACATTTATTTAATATATTATTTTTAATTTTTATTATATAAGGGCCACTGGCAATCCTAATCATCACCACCTCTTCCTAAATGCAGGAAATGGCAAAATGTGTACTCCCCTCCTGCTGCTGCAAGCTCTGTCTGACTTCCTTGATGATAGGAATTGTAGTCCTTGCTCACAGAGTGTGTTATATTGACTGTCGCTAAGCGCATGTCATATTGCAATCTTCTCAGTGCTAAATATTGACTACATTCCTCATCAAGCTCACTCAGCCATATATATGTTTGTGAGACACCTGACCTAAAACTACCTCTCTTTGGGATTTGCTTTAATTCCAGTATAATCCACATGTCTACATACATAAAAATGCTTTACATAAAATTAATTTTGATTATGATATTGAAGTGGTTTATTCCGTAATCAGGAAATTGTAGAGAAATTGAAAGTGGATTACAAAATTTAAGCTAATATAGCCAAACTCTGACTATAGCTAAGTTGGAGGAGTTTAGTTTTCCAAATCACTTATATTATAGACAAGTGCTCAATTCCTAATGCAGTGTCTGGGCACAGTTGTGTAAGCTGGGATTAGCTAATTTTATATTTTTGAAGAAAGCCTCTGTATACGCCTAGTTATCACTAGTGCAAAAATATGTATTTGGCACCTGTTTAAGCTAAATATTATATATATATTTTTTTAAAGCAGTGTTTTCTCAGGGTGCTTGCCCTAATGTATTGTGCTGTGCACACTTATTGTTTAGGGTAATGGCTCCCACAGAAAATATTTGGGAGATGATAGCTACTTAGTGACTGGCTTTCAATGGCGACATTTGGTACTCCCAGTCTCTATAGTTAAGCAGCTACTACTCATTGACAGTAATGAGTGGCGACTGATTGATACAAAGAAGAGACAAGATTGTACATGGAGTACATGGAGTCCATAGAGTATGACGTTAGTGTACAAGTCCCTATTATATGGTTGTGGTGTTAGGCCTGACAAAGGTTTGTGTGAAAGCCGAAACGTTGTGATGCACTGTTTCTGAATAAAGTCTGCCTCTCGGAAAAAACCTCTTGGCCTAATTTTTGCATTTTCCAATAAATAATACTAAAGTCGGCATGCTAATCCAGTATATCTTTCCACTTATTTATAGAGTAAATATTTAGCTTCCCCCCCCCCATCTTTTATTTTAAATAATTTTAGATAATTTTAATATTTAAGTAAAAGTTTTTACAAAAAAAATCAAAATTTCTCGTTTTAGTTTTTAAATTAAAAATAAACATCTATTAATTGTTGCTTATTAGATGTTAACTTTTTTTTTTTGTAATAAAAAACAAACAAATAAAATTAATAAATGTTAGTGTAGTGTGTGATGAGATGTGGTGGTAATGATGCAGTGAGCCCCATGTTGGAAGGAGCACATCTCCCTGCACATGGTGCCAGATACCTGGAGGGGAGGGGGGTGAGCATTAGGAAACATCAGTTTCAGCTACTCCCATTGACAAGAGCCAGATACGCCCCCTCCATGACAGCAACCAATCAGACTACGGTACGGGGTCGAGCCTCTTGCAAGCCTTTCCCTGCCTCTTAGTCATGTGATTCTCTTGTAGTAATCAGTCTCCCAGGCTGCAGGCAGGGGCTGCAGGATCTGCTCACTCTCTACCAAAGCCAAGGGCAACAAGGGGGCAAGTGCTAACCCTCCTGAATATCACCCTGGGAGCTGCTGCACTGCTGGACTGGAAGGTAGGGTGAGCTGGCACCCCTTTCTCAATCTGTCCTCATTGTATGCAGGGCAGGAGCTGCCCAAATCCCAGACATATGGTGAAATGCTGTTTACCTTGAGCATGCAGATATATTACTTATATTATTTATTATTTCTGATTATTGTAACAGCTAGGTAAAGAATCATGTTAGAGATAGTGCAGCCATTGTCAGATCATTAAACTGCTGTTTTAGTCAATAGGTTGTTGGTTTTTTAAAATTAATATTGTATTTATGCTCATGTTTAGACATGTGCTGTGCATCTCCTGGGGCTGATTGTAGTGTTTATATCCAAGCTGGAACTGTTGCTAAATCTTACAGAGCCATAGAAAGGGAGGGGGGAGTGTATATATTTTTTTCAATATATATATTATTTTATTATTTTTTTTACACAGGTATGTATATGTTTTGTGTGTGAGACGTGGTTTAATTGCTGTTGTGTTTAGTATTGATTTTGCAGTATAATTGTTATTCTGTAGCTAGCTTGTATAGCAGAATTAATATTAATAAAGGATTTTGTGGGGGATGTCTGGGTTATGTGATTTTCGAAGGGTTGGGGGATAGAAGAGGCTGCAGCTAGCTATTCATGCTGCATGTGCCTCTCTGGGCTGTTATGGTGAGAATGTTGACAGTGTGAGCAGGATTGAAGGAGAGAGGGAGGGAGAAGGGATTGAGAGGGAGGGTTACTAGCGGTCATGTTCAGCACTAGGGGCCAAGAGAAAGGGAGTAAGTAACACACAAGGACTCAATAACAGGCTGTACAATGAGCCATTCACAAACAGCACCAAGGCTTAGCTGAATTAACCATTAAGAGCCCTTGAATAACAGTAGCCACATTCCTCTGGCAATTGAATGGTTACCCAGTTCCAGTCTGTATAGTCCCTGCAACGAGGTTGCAAATACAATGCAACAATATATTGTACGGCAGATGGATTAAACCATAATTTTACTTTTGTTTTGTTTGAGTTTTTCCTTCTGTATGACAATGCCATGTGGATATTATTCATATTAAGAATAACAAAATATCAACATATCCCAATTTTGAACTCACCTGCACTCTGACTCTTTTCATGAATAATGTATGGAACATTGTATGTCTCTCAGGGTGCATAGTGACATGTCATTGTTTGCATGCGACAGAGATTGAACCTGACTCAAAGTCAATGTTTGTAGCAACTGAGATTATTACAGAGCAAATGGTTACATGACATACATTAGCTGACCAGGGGAGAAAACATGCCATCTTGTTGGAGTAGGGCCCCAGCACCTGTGGATTGCAACTCCTAGTGGGTTCTGCCTTTTTCATCCACAGGAGCTGAAATGTGCTACCGATGCTGAATGAATATTTTAGAGGTTGGTAGATACTGGATGAGCAAGTAGACTGATCAGACCCAGCAGAAGATTTGACAGTTTCCTAATAAGACCATCATTTTAGCTCCTTTCACTGGTTAGTGCACTTTATTCCATTACTTTTGTGTCCAATTGTTTTTCACGTATCTGAAATATGATTGGTAACCATAGTTTAGCTAACGTGCCCACCATACATCAGATATCGCCATCCTCTTCCTAAAAAGCAGAAAAAAGATACAAATATTGAAAACAGTAAGCAAATAATGATGTGGTGGTGGTGGTGGAGGGGATTGATTAAACCAATTTATAACTTAATTTATTGAGTAGTGTTCGAATACATTTCTATAACTCAATAATCTCAGTCATACTTTGGCTGCTGAGTGATGGTTTAGAATCTGGGGAGTTGAAGTTCCAAAATGAATGCAGTTTGTCACCAACACAAATGAACAACAATTCAGCCACATGATTAGAAAAAGCATATTTTTCTCATTGTACTGAGCTCCAGAATATGTTTCCACATTGCAAACACACTAATAATTATTATACGTTAAAAAACACCAATAGTAATGGTAAATGTCCGCAGGGCAGCTGCTGTTCTGTGATCTCTATTTGGATGAAGTGTGGAATTTTAAGATGAAAGCATTTCCAATCTCCTGATGTTGGGATTCTGCAAACAAAAAGTATTTTAATTGCCTCCAGAAAGCAGTAAAACATTTGGGACGATTTAAAGGGGAAAGAAAGTTATAAGAAAAAAATGCAACAACATGTTTACATCTGTTCATTGATTGATCCTGTTTTGCAGATTTTTTTTTTTTGTTTATTTTTACATTTTTACCTGTTATCTGATGTAGATTACAGGCAACTTGTCAAACTCCAAACATTGTACTTTCTCTGACACTGAGAAATGTATTATTCTGAGAAACTGCTGTAAAAGGTCAAGATATGTAATCTCAACATTTACTCCATAATCTCCTCTTTTTACTTTCTGAGTAAAATGCTTTTAGGATCAAGAGAATAAGTGTCTTCTCTATACTGGGAGTTGTGTCCAAGCGACCAGGGAATTGCAGTTGGGACAACATTGCCCAATTGGGGAAAAAAAATCCAACTCTGCTATTTTAGCAATCTGGCTGTTGGGTCTAAATTTTTAAGTTTTCTTTACAGGTCTCTACAATTCCCATTTTAGTGGATATTCCCAGTGTGCATTTCACTGATACTGTCTCAAGTAGAAGCAATGTTGAGGGGTATAGTCTATTGCCAAGGTTACTGCAAAGAAAGTGTAGTCTGAGGTTGAAATTGGTTTGATGAGGGCATGAGGCATTAAATCTTCAAATGTTGTCCTAACTATGAATTTTACAACTGTAATGGCAATTGACAAGAAAAACCACATCTAACAATGAGACACCCTTTGCTGTCTCCTGATCATTACCTGGTGGTAATGGGAATTGTAGCTGCAAAGATCTGGACTAAATTCTCTGCTTTCTAAAGAGGTTCTGCAGCAGCTTAGATATATTTATTAATGGGTCAAACATTGTGGTAACAGGAACTGTATTTTTCTCAACCATACAAACATGTATAGAGGAATTAGAAATTGATAAGCATTCACAGGCCAGCCAGAATAGTCACGTTTGTATCCTGTCCAAATTCACCTTAATTTAATTATTTTATATAGATATACTGAATAGGTAGAGGGGCTGATAAGATGGGTAATGAGCTATGACAGTGCACTCATATCTAGCCATCGGCTACCTCCTAAATCTATGGGGCCTAAAGACTGGCCAAGCATCATGGGAAATGTAGTTTACAAGAATTTGGGTTGCCAATGTTGACTATTAGTACCTTATGTAAAGGGTAGAAATGTGCAACCTGGGTTTCAGGGCTACTGATGGCCTGGCTCTTGGGTCAGTAAAATTCCTTTATATCCAGTGAAAAAGTCTCCAGTCTGCACCTGGTTTTACTTGCCACTGTTTGTCTGTCATGTGAGATTTCAAGTGACTTTTTTTTTTTTCTTTTGTAGAAAGTCACTGTCACCATATGTTGCTCTGCTAGGACTGGTTTAATAGGTAACTCTTCAAAGGCGTTGATAAGATTTTAATGACCTTTCCACTTCAGTCAAACCAGTTAACTGCAAGAGCAAACACATGTTACAGTGGGATCTTGCTCAGCTGAGGAATTTATTCTTTAATCGGCTGTTTTGAAGGAATCTTTCAGCTGTTCCAGAAGAAAAAGAATTAGCAGAGTTTTTTTTATTTATTTATTTTACATTTTTGTATAGTCGACCATCAGCATAAAAACAAAGATAAAGGTCTGGGCAACTCCAAAATCTACAGAATGTGGTTAAGAGGAGGTTGTTAATTAGGTTAATGCCTATGGGTACTGCCAATAAGGCATTTTCTGTTAGGATTTATTCAATAAACAGGGAATTGTAGTATAATAGCCATAAAAGCTGTAAATCGTGTTGGAGAATTCTCCTAAATTGGCTATTTATGGCCTAAAATTCCATTTTCAATTATCCACTAATTCCTGTTGTAATGAATAAGTCACCCCCTTGCCCTCAGCAAGCTAAACAGGAGACCTCAATCTTCGCTGAATAGATGGGATGCAAATTTAGCTCCTTGCTTGGATTACATGATATGCTAATCCAATGACCCATCCATCAGTGTATGAGATCGGTGGGAAATGCGTGAGCAGTGCTGCAACTTGGGGAACTAAGAAATTAAGCCTTTTGGTGTATTTTATTTTCTTGCCTTTAGCATCATGTGACATTTTTCCCTGTATAGACAAATTACAAGAAATCCCAAAATATATTGTCTGCGCTGTAGGAACGACCACATTTGTACAACTCAAATACTGAACTTTGTGCAGTTTCCTCATCTCTATTTACACAAAACCCCAGGCCGAAGGGAGTCTTAAGGGACGAGAAAAAGAAACCTATTCTGTTTGTTCTATTCTGAATACCCTGTTTAGTAAGACTTGCTCAGTTTATATGCATATCAATCCTTATACATATAGACTGGCAGAAGGCTAGGTAGAATAGATAGATTGAATTCCACCACATTATAGCAGCTACACATGCTTGGACAATGACCGTTTTGCCTACTGTTGCATTTAAATTCCAAGATTGTTGCATCATCCTTTAATGCAAGGTGCATGTTTTAAAAGGGTCCTCCTTAAAAAGGATATTCTGTAGATCACCCTCAAACCCAATCTATAAAATGAATTTGTCCTTCATGTATGGTGACATTAGGTAGCACTACTGGTGGTTCTGTTTTTACCAAAGGATCTCAAGGCTGATGATGGTGGATGAGGACTTTTGTCACAAGCTGTCACTTAGTATTTCAACCTAGAACAAATTATTTTAAAAATTCATGCACACTGGACCCATAACCATATATTTATAATTTTTGAGATTCTTAACTAATATTATGCAGGACTATCTATGCATTCTTAACAGAGGGTCTCTCCACAACATGCTAAACATGGTATGGGGGTACCAATGCTCAGAGATATATATTGTATTGTATATCGCTTGGGCTTGTGCTGTGTTGACAGAGCAGTCACTGAAGCATAACAGACCTTGCTGGCAGCACAGGGGTTAAGAAAGCATATAATCCCCTATTGACTATTCATTTTCAAATGTTAGGACAGAGCAGCAGTGTAGCATGTAGGAGACAGGTCTGTTCTAAAAGCAGCATAACCAGAGTTTTCATGCAATCATCTACAGTCACAGTGCTCATATGATGGGTGGGGGGATGACTGCGACCCTTGTAATTCACTTGCTCTATCTTAAAAAGAGTTCTTTATCCCACTTCCCCACTGGAGCCAGTAATATTGCCCTCTGTGTGGAACTGATAGCCAGTTCTTGCAATCTATGCCCTCGCATTAAAACATCTCATAAACACCACATTCAGTGTTCCATTTAGCTCTCCGAGGCCAAGTTACGGACCACAGTACACTCTTCAAACCCATCTGGCTCAAAGACCATCACACTCTAGATCCCTTTACTGTACACAACCCACTTACCGTGTGCCAAGCATGGCATTGATCGTAGTGGACTGGAAGCTACATTAACTTGATCAAGCAATATGAAAGACCTTACAGAGCTACCTTTTTAACCTCAAAGAGGTTATAGGTGCTGACATTCTATGCCTATTCAAAGACAATACTCTTTATATGGGAGGGAAAAAGTACTGCCTAAGTTTGCACTATTTTACATTTCCCACAGAGCATAATGCTAAGAGAAATTTAAAATAACATTCAGTATAGAGAGATGTATATATGTAATGAATGAATACATTTATTTAGATTGCGAAGGCATACATTTTGTGTAGGGCCATTCTTTAAACCTTGAAGAGTTGTTGTTGTTTTTTCTTCTTTTGGGATATCCTTATTAATTGTTCCTGCTCTGTAGAAAGTTTAGAAAACTTTCAAAACTATGTATTTCAATTTCCAATATAATTCAGACATGTGACTTGTAAATAAACTGAATTATTTTAATTTTTTTTTTTTTTTATTATTTTTTTTTTAAAGCACCTAGCCCTCTCTGACATTTTATTTTTTCTCTTTTGGTTGCAGGGCCCTCATTTTGGGTATTTTATTGCATGTGCTGGTGAGGTTACCTCGGAAGCTTATCCAGGAATGGTGGACCATTTGATCCCTACTGATGAATGCTTCTCTACACCTCAGTCTGGTATTAGATTCTCAGCTGAGATGCTGATGGGTGGAAGGTCTTATCAGATGTTACCTTCTCCTGTATCGGAGGATGACAGTGACTCTTCCAGTTTCCGTTCTTGCTCCAGTCCAGACTCTCAAGTGCTAGGTTCCAGCTATGGCAGCACAAGTAGTGCAGAGAGCCAGGACAGCATTCTAGATTACCTTCTGTCTCAGACAACATTGGGCAACACGTCTGTATCTTGGTGGGACAAGAGGAAACCACAGTCAATGATCAAAGAGGAATTCTTCAAGGTTCCGGATTTTGGGGGAGATATGGAGGAATCATTGTTTCATCCCACCCTGGATGAGATTGAGGAGTTTTTAGAGGAAAATATGAAATCTGATTTAAAACATGACATGCAAGATGATGCCAAGGAACTGCGAAGTTGTGGTCATTTGTTTTCTGATCAAGTGAAAGAGGTTCCTGCGCTAGGGAGCTCCATGAAAGAAAACACCAGTGAACATTCAAAAAAGTCATCGCAGGAGGAATCAAGCAACAAAAGCTCGACTGGTATTACTTTAGAGGGAGGAATTCCTGTTATTCTTCAAATACAACCAATGGAGGTTAAACAAGAGTCAAACTCCAACCAGGCTTCATCTTCACAGTTCCCTGATAACGTTAAAGTAGCACAACTTCTGGTCAACATTCAAGGTCAGACATTTGCTCTAGTTCCACAGCTAGTCCAGTCATCGAACTTGTCCTCTAAGTTTGTCCGCATTGCTCCTGTGCCCATTGCTGCTAAACCTGTGGGCCCTGGAGGAGCACTTCAGGGACAGTCTGGAGTCATGGTTGGTCAGAAGTTCCAAAAGAATCCAGCCACAGAACTCGTAAAAATGCACAAATGTACTTTCCCGGGATGTACTAAAATGTATACCAAGAGCAGCCACCTCAAGGCCCACCTGCGTAGACACACAGGGGAAAAGCCATTTGCCTGCACATGGCCTGGATGTGGTTGGAGGTCAGTAGACAAAGTTTCCAAGATAAGACAAAATTTGCATCAATTTAAAGAATTTTGATAAAACAACATAGCTACAAATTCTAGTTATTTGTGACATGAATGTGACTGAGTATATAGAATTACACTTCTTTTCAAATTGTTGTTAATGAAACATTTTTTTAAAAAAAGATTACAATATAAATTTGAAACCAACAAGTAATAACTATAGTACATTAAAAAATAAAATAAAAAGTGGAGGGGAAGGATTCATCATTGTCGCTAGTAAAAATAAATCCATAACGTGTGCAAAATTCACACACCTGGTCAAACCTGTTGGGAAAATTTAGCAATTAAGAATATTTCCAATTCTGTAATTTTACTTTAAATAATCCCTATTTTTCAAAGACAAATTGGTAGCCTGGTGACTTTTATCTGCTTTTTATTGCTAGCCTATTGCTGTGAGAGGGTCCCGTAGGATAACTACCAGTGTTTTGACCCAGGCTGATAACAAACCAGAAAGAGAATTGTACAGAAAATTAGATAATTCAACTAGCTCTTCGCCAACATTTCTTTCTTGTTAATGGCGAAAGGCATGATGGGCCATTATACAGTTCTCTCGGGTTTGCACTTGATGGGAATGTTGGCCCACACTGCGCATATCAAACAATCTGATGTTTGCGCTGGGTGTGTTACTGTTTCTGTAAAAGCTGATATTTGTAACCTGTAGTAAACTCTGTTTGTTGCCGTATTAACAGAGGCAGCTCAAACCTGCTTCTGCATGTATCTCTGCTACCTGTTATAACATGTGACCTGCTCTGGATTGATGAGAATGGAACAATTTGTGCTTCTAAATAATACTTCCTTTAACCAGTGACAGTCTGGTGTGACACTATATGTTCCAGAAAAAATTAGGAAATCCAAATTGGATACAGGATTTCGACTCTTCTGGTCCTACTGTGACCACATTTCATGCTTTCTAGAAATGGGAATCTTGTGATGTGATGTGTGTGTGTGTGTTTTGTAATCGGAGTATGCCTGGGTTACTGCAGCTACTGTTTGGGATGCTGCAAATACCTAAACGCTATTTCTAACGTGAGTGTCTCCTGACTTGGGTTGTTGTTTTCCTGCAAGGTCATTAAGGACTTACTTGTAATTTTACATTGTGCACAGCCCATGAAGTTTGTTGATCATCATCATGAATGGCAGCTGATAACGTGTGAGGAAATGGGGTATCTAGAATGCGTTGTGGCAGAGTTTAGTGATTTATCGAGATATTTGAGATGGTGGCATTTTGGCATTTCAGATGTTGTAGACTACATGTCACGTAATGTTCTCACAGTCATAATACTGGCAAAGCATCAGGGGAGATGTAGTCCACATCACATAGAGTGCCGTAGGTTACCTACCCCTAGGTAAACGGTAAATCCACTCAAAGATTAGCAGTGTCATAGCTTTGATGGCAGTGTTGTAGATAACTAAGATGTTTATGGTGAACTAACTCTTATTAAGATGGGTGCCCTAGTATTGCATGTAGATGCCCAGGGAGTTTGTAAGCCCATGGAAAGATTGGAAATGGTGAGATTTTCATATTAAAGATCTAACATAGGGGAACACGGCTGTAGATGCGAAGTCCAAAATTATAAATGTAACAAAGACCTAAGTCAAATATTATTCTTATTAAGTCACAATGAGAAATGATAAATCATTTTCCGACTTGGTTATTGTGCTACATCCTGATAGTATCCACATGCATGAGCAGCAGATTATAGTGTACTTGTGGGTGGGATTGAGACCACAGATGGTGGTGTAACAAACCATGCACCATTAATTCCTCCATTATACATAGAAAATAATTTAATAGCATGTTAACCATTTTATATATTGCGGCTTTATCTTGCTAACCCCATTATATGCATAGTTAATAACTCTAATATATTCCCTTTAACCAATACAACACTTCTTTATTATTGTGAAGTTCATGACTTGAACTGCGGTCCATGAGTTATAATCAGATAGCCAAGACGTATAGTATGTTCCAGAGTCTTGTACTCACTTGGAGGGGGTTCTGGTGAATTTAATTCACATTTGTAGATCTAACACATTCCTTTTGTGTGTGGGAAATTCTGTAGTAATTTGTAGCAATGGGTGCAAGGCATTCTATTTCACAATCTCCCAAAGAGATTTCTCAATTCTGCTGAATTATTAACCATTTATTCTCTGCTGCAGGGTGGATGAGATTACTATCAACACTTTTTTTTTTTTTGTTTACAAAGAAGACCCAAACTCCATGGGTCATGTATAAGCACAGCATAGGACAAGTGGCTCACGAGAGCAACCATAATACCATCAGGTTATCAAAGCCCTGTCCTGCATAGTGATACTGCCCTTTTTCAGTTCCCATGATCTTAGCTACGTGGTTCTAAAGCCAGAGGCTTACTACACAAAAACCTCTAGCCGGAAAACACTCTATAGATATTGTATATGTTTCTCAGTATAGCCCTGTTTTCATGCTGATTAATTGAATTCTGCAATAGGGGCAGGATTCCCAACCCCCTCCTGCCTGATGGTAACCAAGGTTACTGCTTAGGCTTTCTAGAATGTAAGGGGCCCTAGTATGGTACCCAGCAATCAGCATTCATCCATACTGGCAAAACACGCCATTAGGTTTAATTGAAAGAGATGGATGGATGGATGAATACAGGAACATACAAGTTAATAGGCAAATATAAAAATAAAGATTTAGCTGTAAATACATATTGATGGAGACAGGCACTGATTTAATGTGGACTTAGTCAGTGCAATTCCTTCTAGTCTCTTATTTTGTGGATTTTAAAAGAAGTAGTCTTTAATATGGATTTGTGTAGGATGTATGTATGTGGCTGTTGTCCTCTTTTTGTTTCTGTGAATTCCAAAAGAAAGCTTTATGGAGGCAACCATTCAGTTTTCTATAAGCTGTGCTAGGAATGAGTCAAATATTCAAACCCACATTGTGTGATGACAAGTCAAATTACTTTGAACTATTCCGACTGGATAATTCTTACTGTCTAATCCAAAAATGAATCATGGTTCAAATTTTGATACAGTTTATGTAAAGGGATACAGAGTTGGATAGTTCTTAAATCTTGTTTATCTTCCTAAACCACTTTTAGAGTTTGACAACTCCTCTTACATTCATAGACCTGTTCATTGGAAACCACTGGTTATGGTGTTGAAGAAAGCAACATTACTCTTATCAAATTCTTAAATCTAGCTTATAATGGGGCTCTGTGCAATATATATGTTACACTAGGCTTGGTGAAGAGTATGTATACCTTTTTTAAGAGGAAACTATATTGATGACTTTGGGGCTTCTATTCTCAACCTGAGCATGCTATATGAATCCTTTCATTGACAGTTCTGCAGTAATAACTATTGCTTCTCAAAGAGATACTGTAAGAGTCACCATGATTATTTCAGATTATTGTGTGTCATTTTCTTACAACTCTCACATCTTAAAGTGGTTGTTTTGGATAATTAGGAAAAAGTGTACGTGAGTGTTCTTGTTAACATAATATATCATAGAAACAAATTATCTCATTTAGTCATTTAATATCCGATCTTTCCTAGTTGCATCATCAAAATGTCAATTCACTATCCCCTGTCCAGTGACTTAGGCCTGTAAACACTGCACCAAAAAAACAGGTGGAAACTCAAAGGGACAGTTTAGTCACATGAAGGCACCATTACAACTTTATCTAAATAAAGTTATGTTGCCCTGAGGCCCCTGGATGTAGTCTTACCACCAGGGGTTAAACTGTTTTCTAACCACCACTGCTGCTCTCGGCTTCCCCTCGGTAGCTTCCGGCTTCTCTAATTTCACTTACAGGAAGCACACAGTGCCTATAGGGTGAGCTGCATGCTGATTGGCTGAGAGCAATCAGTGACTCTCCATTTACAAATCTGGCTTGGAAAGTCCCCTGCCCGGCGGCATTCTCCGCTTCCTGTAAGTGAAATTACAGAAGCTGGGAGCTACCGGCTTTATTTTGTCCTTACTGCAGCATCTTTGAGGACGAATCGTCTCTTATTTAAAAAATAAATTTAAATTAAGAAAAGTTGTGTAACATTTGTTCTGCTATTCTCTGGTGTTGACTTAAACTTTCCATTCTCCTTACCAGTAAGCTTTTTAAAATTGGTCCATGGAACAGCCAAGAGGTGGGATTTGGCAATTTAAAAATATTTAGCAGATCCCACATCTAATGATATCACTTCTGTATCTCATCTGTGGTCTCTTACTATTGAAATGGATGCATATGTTTTGGGGGAAAGAAGAAAGATCTCCTTAAGGCAGAAAACATTTGAATCGAAAACGGTCAATATGTATCCTTGTAATAATGCAGTGCATTAAGACCTAATAGTTTTTGTAAAAAACAATAAAATAAAAACTGTCCATTGCCTTTCTGCTTCTCAAAGTGACCTATGAGTTAATAAACAAAAAAAAATGTCTTAGAGTCTCTAAAACATCTAAGGGTTTTATTAAATCTACAGCAAGTTGTCAGGAGTTTACAAGCAAGGCTTTAATATTTTGGCGGAAAAATAAAAGAACTGGATTCAATTTTTTGTTTTGTTCTCTCTATAGCACACAATTTAAATTTTATACCCAACTTTGCTTATGTTAACTGAAAACCTAGTGATCAGTGGTGAAGGAATTTATGATATATTGTACAGTGCTATGGAATATGATGGCGCTATATGACTAATAAAATAATATTCCATATCCGTACTTCAATTCTCATAATCTGCAGTTTACTGACTAGCCACACTTCACGTGAGCGGCAGCTTAGGGGTTTTATATGTACTGACTATCTCTGTAATGCCATCCTAAGAAATGTAGTTACCAGCTATGCCAACAATTAGTGCCAAGCTGTGATTCGGCCATAGACCTAACTTTGTTCAGTTCCCTATGAAATGTTTGTTTTTGCTATGTTGTTGAAAATATTTCTGACATGTTTTGTTATCTGAATCAGACCTCTGTAAATATGCTGCATTTTATACTGAAAACTCAATCAAACAATGGTGTCTTTCTACTTCCCCAGGTTTTCTCGATCAGACGAGCTCTCCCGACACCGTCGTTCACATTCCGGGGTGAAGCCGTATCAATGTGCTGTCTGCGAGAAGAGGTTTGCGCGAAGTGACCACCTCTCTAAACACATTAAGGTGCACAGATTCCCACGGAGCAGCCGCTCCACACGTTTGTCAAACTGACCCCTTCCCCCACGATGCCCATCCCAGAATGTGTGAACTTTCCAGCACTTTGTGCATCTTGCCGTCATAACTTATTATGCGTGGAACAAATCCTCTGTTCACCTGGACCTCGGCGGTAGATGGATCTCGCCTCCCATTTAATACGGCTACGGAGGAAGATCAGACTCCAAAAGGGAAAGAGATGTTAAATCGGAACATTGGACTACGTACTCTGCTCATTAATGAGCTCTATATCTATGCCCTTTATGGTAGTGAAATGGTTGAAAGGAAGATTGAAAAATGATTTTCCAATCTTAGCCTAAATTATATTGTCATTTTTGGTGGAAGGGTTCGGGTACTTGGTGGTATGGGCAACGTTTGTGTTGTGATGACTGGAGATAAATGATGGAATTTTTTATTATATTTCTTCTTTTTAATCCATGTATTTATCCCTTTATTTTGCTGGCAAACATTTTTAAGGTGCATTGGAGGTTACATCGACAGAGCAGTGTTCTAAACATGATTCAGTCACTGTGTAAACCAGAGGTAGGCAACCTTTGGCACTACCGATATTCTGGATTACATATCCCATGATGCTTTGCCAGCATTATGGCAGTAAGAGCACTAGAGGAGAGCTGGTCCACAACATTTTGAGTGCTAAAGGTTGCCAACTGCTGTAAATTAACAGAATGTCTCTCATGACTGCCCCAAATTAAGAACTCTTCCCCAGAAATACTCTTTCAAAACCGACCCTATAATGCAATGGTGCTTTGGGTATTGTTTTGCAAACAATGGTTTATATGAATAGAGAAAAAAATGACAGGATTAAAAAATGATCCTGGACCGTAATGGAATGATATTAATCTTGTCCTTTATGAAGCTTGTTCTACAAATTTATCCTCATAACGAAACACCTACATAACTTCTGTGTAGGCAGGCAATGTACGTGGATAACTCCTCATAATGTCTGTGTATTTCAGGTAGTGGAATATGTCAATTTAAGAGGGGGAAAAAAGAAATGGAGGGGATTAGGTGATTATAAAAACTTGGATCTCAATTAACCGTTACCTTGTTTATTTAAAAAAAACAACCAATAAAAGTTATTCATGTAGAGCGATAACCAATACAAAGACAAGTATTTACATGAATTAAAGTAGCATTCTTTAACTCCCTGGGATTTTAACATATCCAATCAGAGAACCCAAAATATGCCAAACTTGCATTTTTCATAAACTGGTTTTCAACTATAATTTATGCCATTAGACAGAATTTTAGAGTAATCTATTTCCGGAGTAAAAAGTGTAAAACATTCCTACTTCTATTTTTTTAAAATGTTCTAGGACAATAATGAATGTTCAGAATAATGAGTGCATTTATATGTAAAATTAAATATTGGTAGAAAGAGAATATATAGTTTTATTATAGATTATAATAATATATATAAAATAATTTGGAAAACACAAAGCTGAGAAAATATTTTTGTACTTTTTATTTTTTACATGTTTTTATCAGAATATAAAAATATTCTTAGTCTTTCTACAAATATAATTCAGCATATATTTTGTGTAATATTTTAAAAATTGAAGTTTACACACTTTTTTAAACCTATATTTAAGCAAAAATATGGGGAAAGGTCTCCAACTCAGGTATTTTCCCCTGTAAATTCTTAATTTAGTGAATTAATTCCTGTGTCTCATAAACCTATAAATGAGAACTTTATTAACCCCCAAGGTAACAACAAAGGTTGCCTTCCTCACTTACTTAAATCTCTTATCCCCTATGTTCTAGTGCAGGGATAGGCAACCTTCGGGACTCTATATGTTGTGGACTACATCCTCCATAATGCTCTTACACCCTTGATGCTGGTAAAGCATCATGGGAAGTGTAGTTCAAAACATCCGGAGTGCTGAAAGTTTCTTTACAAGGAGTGTTAGATTGGTGATATTCTTCCAGGGTGGGGAGCAACGATTCAGCGAGAACCCAATTTACTCTTTCAGGACACATTAGAGGACCCAAGATCTGAAATTGGAACACTTCAGCTTTAGAACATAATGTATTTATTTCTAATGTTTGAGTGTTTATTTAAATTTACCAGAGAGTGCCTTTTAGTGGATGAGCCAAGATCATAACCAACCAACCAACCAAAGGTATTTCACAATACTACAGCAATATTTCATGTAGCCATACAAAATAATTTAAGACCAAAAGTTATTACCCCTATAAATAGTTCAGTTTTCTAAAACAAACCAACAATAAATTCTGCATTATTTCATTTGTGCTATGAATTTATGCAATAAATTAAGATAAACCTTCTCCTTTATCTCCAGTTGCCTATGTCAAATTAAGCCTTTCACTACCTTCAGAGCTGGTCACAGAAAGAGATACAAAAATAAACTGACATAAAAATCTCAGCCTGATATTTTATTTTTATATATATATATATATATTTTTTTTTTCTCCTCATGGTCGAGTGGAATCTGCCAGTGAAAAAATAAACCATATCAGTATTTATTAGGCTTCAGGAACAATGGGACAGTGGGTTTTAAGCGATCACAAGACTGGATATCTTATGCTGTATTAGGCTTCTAATTTTTTTTTTTTTTTACTTGGTAAATATTATTGAAGACCGTTTTTGTATAACATAGAAAATGAATGTTCAAATGATATGTTATTGTGTGCGATAAAGCATATCACATTGCCATATTTATGTAATGCCAAAACTGCTTGATTTCTGAGGTAGTTGACCTTTTTGTTGGTACCGGAAAACTGATAAAATCAATATTTAAACTGATGGAAACATGTTTTTCAATCAGAAAATGGTTGTGAACCCTCCATTGCCCTTTATATTCAGTGAATCGATGTACATTGATCTGCAAGCAAAGATATCAAATTGTTCCAAACCGCTGGATAATATTTCCTATAAACAAGTTAATTTTAATGGGGAAAAAAAAACACAATTGCTGCAAAAATTAAAAAGATCGGCCTCTTATGATACCTCATGCACAATAATTTTTTTTTATTTTCAATTTTTTACACACGTAATTAAGCCTGTGATAACATTTGACTAATCGTGCGCTCACAGTACACATATAAGATTATGTGATATCTGCCATTTTTATAAGGAATGCATATAGAAAATGCATACAACAGGGCTGCACTCTAACTATTGCTACCCTGCAGAATGCATTTATGTGTTCTGAGTTGAAGAGGCATGATGGATGTCTTCTATATTATGTCCATTTTCAGGGAGACAGATTTCCTTTGTGTATTTGCTGCTACGCTACTATTTGCTATTCAATGTAATTTTCCCTGTGAACATTTTATTATGAAATATTTTCATTCTGCCTTAATGTTAGCCCAATGGAAATTTTTGTATTACCTAGAATACATTTCTGTTTTTATTTTGCTGGGGAAAAAGTTGTTTTTTGTTTATTTGCAACCAATTAAATGTCACTCGGATTGTAACGGGGTTATGTTGGTTGTGCATTCCTCCTTTAACAATATAAAATACTCCTATTTCATGATTATTTTGCTTAGGTGCAGTCTGATATACAATGATCTGGCAACCAAATTGTAAAGTGTAGACCTGAATTGGAAATCAAGTCTAAAACTCTAAGGCTTGTTGAATATATATATATATAATATTTTTTTATTTTATTTTTTATTTTTTTTACCCAGCGCAGATCTTATTGACAACTCACTGATTAGGAAATCAACACAAGGTTTTTGAGCTTAAATTAGTCAAATGCTTATCTGGAAATCCTGCGGTCAACATATACTCACTAAAAGAGTTTCTGTTGCAAAAAATCTGTGGAAACAAAATCAGAATTGAAAGAAAATAATATTTTTTTCTTTTTTTTGCCAGACTGTTTTAGAGCAGCAATAACTGCATTGTTGTGTGTTGATGCGTTGATTCGAAATAAAAATCCATTTATTTTTCTATAGAGTAGAGCTGGCGGCTTGGCAAGGTACTTATCAGCCTTCCCTAATACAAACTACCATTGTAAATCAGCCGGCAATCGCTCTGAATCAGCCTGCACTCAATCAAAAAACTATTTTACATTATCTTTCAACCAATCAATCATTTTACATCAACCAAGCAAGCCATTCTAGATGAGCCTGCCCTTTAACTTTTCCTTCTGAATGTATGTAAATACGGTCTGTATAGCATTCTCCATTATGAAATAACTTTTATTAACATGTGAAAATTTTGTGTAAATTAAATCAAAGTTAAAATATATCTCTATGAAGCTATGTATATATAAATAATACTGTATTTTCTTTTACGTTCCTTAAGAAGTATATTTACTTTGGAAATAAACAAAGTGTAAATTGAACTACCGTGTGGCATCCTTTTTATTCCGAGGGATAACTTCTGGTGGAAGGATTTTCAGTGCAATGTGCTAACCCAACAATACGTTATGGTAATCCTACAACAGCCGGGACGCTACGGCTTGGTCATCACTATATCGTTCAGAACATATCTATATATACACAGGGTTTAATCAGATTCAACATAGAGTCAAATACTATTGAATGATTCAATGTAAGATTAAAGAGCTCAATTATTCCCCCACCAGATGTAGATTCCACATTGAGGAAGAGCATAGACAAACCAGTGCCATAGAGATAGACAACAACCTAATTGGGACTTAACCTTCTCATAAGAAGATACTGGGTGGATAGGACATCTCAATAGACAAACCATAACCATTACTGCCTGCAATAGTCATTTTGGTTTCTGTCTTTACTTGGCTGTAGTAGTAATGATGCTTAGATTGCCCATTTAATAAATGCTGCTATTAATTTAAAAAGAAACTAGGATACCTGCCGAGAACATGGAGTATTCATTTATTACAGTAGCACACAGTATTGTCAAGATGTAATAATGTTGCACCATCTATATTGAAGTACCCAAGTATCTTGCGAACCAAGTACTTAATGTGTGAATACAATGCAACCAACTCAATTAATCTGTATCCAAAAAAGGAAAATAATACTTCATTAAAAGCGTATGCAGCTATCCAGAAACCCCAGAGACCAACGTCCAAGGTGTTATCATTCCAATTATGAAGGTAAACTAATCCAATAATAACAAATTTAATCAAAGGCCCATAAAGGAAAACAGCCCTTAAGACAGAATTAATTTGAATATATATATTTATGTAAATGAAATAAAAAAACAGCTGAGTTTTAAAAACATAAATCTGATTAAAAAAACAACAACAAAAAAAACCCCACCAGAGACCAACGTCCAAAGTGTTATCATTCCTATTATGAAGGTAAACTGATCCAATAATAACAAATAAAATAAAATGACCATAAAGGAAAACAACCCTTAAGACAGAATTAATTTGAGTATATATGTATGTAAATGAAGCAAAAAAAAAAAAAAACTGGGTTTTATAAATAAAAATCTAATAAATATATATATATATATACATTTTTTTTAAAAATAGCGTGTTTAGATGCCAAGCTATAGAGGGTGATTTCTTCATTTTAGATAATTAAAATCGTAAACTGGTTCTATTACAATGTAGCCCTGTGAGTTTTATAGTTTTTATGTTATTAGATAAAATGCCTCCTAATGCAAGGAACACCAATGTTTTATGAATCCTAATTTAAATATATGAATACACAAATTCGCTATAGACCACGTTTAATTTAAATTTGACATTCTTTATTTTGGCGAGCAGAATATAACATACAATTATGCATAGACATTCTAACAAGTATATGTGCGGCAATAATACATATATGCAGTGGATCTAAAATGACGAGGATAGTGCACATAAAACGCATGAAATGAGGGTGAGTAAGAGCAAGTACTGAAGGGATTTGACTAAGTGTGTTAGCTGACTGCACTTGAAAATACACAAGGGTATAGAGTCAGGCTAGGTCATATAGCTATAACAAATAATAATTACAAAGTAAGTGGTGCTAATGTGAGTCAGCCCAAGAGCAAATGAAATCCTATGGGTTGTAAGAGGGGTTATCTGATGGCACATAAGAAATGTATATACTGGTAGCTAGAACCATTAAGTAGTTCACTAACTGGCTCAAATTGCTTGCCTTGATAGAGAAAATAAAATAAATGAAGGGGCACATGAGAAAAAACAAAAACCTCAGAACGTTAAACAACTGCTAAATAGTAGTGTAGACATTTATGTGCTCTGTATCAAATGACTCTTTAAGAGCTGCCCACTTAGTCTATGCCCGTCCCATCAAGGCAAAGTCCAGAGACAATTTGGAATTAAAATACTGTTAAAAAGACCATAATGGTTCAAATAATTCAACCCTTTATGATATGTTTTAAAGCAAAATTGGAAACTATATTTGCAGCCTAGAAAAGTAAATAATAAAACCAGGGCATAATAGAAAAGGTAATAATGTAATCAATAACATCCATATTGAATGGATATAAGCCTATCCTGTCATAAATACAAATTGTTTGGTGTAATGATAATAGCAGTAGCAGAGAAATCAAGACTTGCAGTTTCTACAAGACAGTTATAGATATAGAAAAATGTTTGGCTGGGTTCCACAGTACTGCAATGTGCCATGAAGAAAGCTATTTGGGCCAAGTGACAGAATTGGCTGTAGAGTAGAGCCTGAGGCTCTTCCATTTTGTACCATAGTAATGGTCCAACAATCAACCATCATCTCCATTCTTCTACAACAAAATATAGTGGTGGAAATAACATGTTGTTGGGATGCATCAGACGGTATAGAGGTTGATCTACATCCGGAGTACATGGAACTCCTCAGCCTTAGATACAAGATTATCTTCTGGATCAGGTCTCATCCACCATCCTGCTTCTTTATGTCCCCCTGTTCATATTTATGGATGGACTTTTATTCTGAATTGTAGTCAAGTGACATCTAACTTTAATTATTAAGATATTTTGTTCATAAAAAGATTTACAAAAAAAAAAATCACATTTTGTATAGAAACTAAAAATAAAACTCTACTGTTCAGATATAAAAGTCAGATGCTGAATCCTTAAGATCCATCACTTGAAAAACCATCAGAATTTGATTTTTTCTTTACTTTTAATTTTGAATTCTTGACTTCTTAATTTGAACGGCTACTTCTGAATTCTCCTTCAACCATCTTAAAGGCAGATGTGTGAAAAGTTTGGACAATATTTGTTATTTCTTTTTAATTTCCAGACAAATATCAACTATATATATATATTTTTTTAAAGTGTAATATTAAAATATATCACTTGAGCTATGAGCAGCAATTTAGCCTATTGAGATCTCTGTTACAATAAAGTTGCAAAATTTAGGTAAAAATATTCCATATGGAAAAATAGAAAAATCTGCTACTGCAAACTGCAATCTGGTTGTCCTCTCAACACAATCTATTATTAAGTGAATAAAGCCCAACATCATAATGGGCATGGAGCCTGCCAGAATAGTATATTACTTTGCTGCGTGTTATCCATAGGTAGAGGTGTAGCTATGATATCTGTGGGCCCTGACCTGGAGTTTATGGTACTTGTTATTGAAATGATAATGTTTTGCTCTCGTTTATTTCAGTCTAGTCATGGTCCATCTAAACAAGCAGGTGATCCTATCCCAGAGCACACTGGCGTCAAACCTACCAGGTTAATGATTACATTGACCCTACGCTGTTTTTCATTCCTCACTTGTTCTATTGCGCACCGAACAGCAGGTTGTTTTGAGAATTCCATTATATTTTTTCTTGTTGTGTTATATCCTTGTTTTCATTTCCAGTGTTTTTATGGTATTTTCTCTGAGTAAGCAATAAAGGGCAGGTACTTTTCTAATTGCTTATTCTTAGAAACCAAAGACAGAGTAAACCGTCTCATAAAATAAAGGACAAATAACTGAATACTCCAAGCACCTTAACCACTACTGCGTGCTTGAAGTGTTAAAAGGCTAATGTTAGGTTATTGATATTCCAGGTCTATATCACTTGGGAATACATTTTCCAGCTTAGAAAACAGTGTGCCTCATATTTTAACAATATTGTCCCATAAAATGTAGTACAGAGCAAAATTTCCCAAACACCACCGAGGCCATGGCCTCAAGGGTGCAAGTGAAAGTCCTGTTTTTACCAATTAACTCCCACAAGGCTTCATAGAGAAGCACCTATAATCTATCTATAATCTATCAGCAACATAACCACCAAGGGTAGCTGTAGTGGAGATGCTGCTTAGAATGTTGTTTCTCTTGCCAACAAACAATGTTAATTCTAATTATTAAACATTAAAATATTGTTTAATAGCTACATAGCAAGCCTTGAGCATGATAAGTTGCAGCTTTACACTACAGACTTTTATATCCCATTATTTAGAAATATTTCAAATCAATCCGAGGGGAAAAAGATTGGTAGAACAGAGATGGTTTAATCTTTTGATATCAGATTTCAAATGTATGCTTTATATGCTTTATTTTACACTGTAAACTGTTTTTTAATTTTGTTCACATCTATTTGAAAGAATGGTAGAATATGAAGTTAAGAAGCTACTCTGTGTGCAGATTGTTTTTGATCGAAATCTTTTAATGTTGATTTTAAAATTGGTTTATTTACTAAACACTAAAATTGCAGTGAATAGAAAAAAAAAGCAAAATTTAGGCAAAAAATGTTTTAGACTAAACGTTTTCAGTTCCCTAATTTCAGTGCTCAGTGATTAATACCTGCTATTTGTAATTGTTTTATTTTTCAAGATTTTGTGGATCAATCGTAGTGTTACATCACACAGAGACAGTACCAAAGAATCACACAGAGACAGTACCAGCAATATTGCATGCTAGGGAATGAGTGATAGATCTCTTTTCAGGTTTCAAGGCTGAATTATAAATGGATAGTGAAGTCTCCCGTGGATAAATATTATCTAATAAGTGTGGGAGGCGTAAAACTAACTTTGTTTAGAATATAAAGACGGTAATAAAGACTTTGACGATAGAAAGGGAGAGACTAAAGCGCTTAGAATCCCTATGACAATTCTCATGAATGTAATTATACAGTTTTCTATATCCATAGCTATTTTTCCAGAGGTAACCTTTTTGCCAGGACACCACCCAGCACTTTAGAGAGAAGGAAGACAGGTAGTGTCAATGAAGTTCAACAAGCAGCCTTATCTTAAGTTTTTACCTTCAACAACCAATGAACCTCTTCAAGAGATCGAATCTTGTAATCCCTGTGACGGAGCTCCCATACTGTGACCGAGTACCTTCACCCAGTCCACTTCCTAGCCACTTTCAGGGACCCTGGAACGCTTCATACCCAGTCACTGAAGCTTGACTAGGACTCCCGGGAACTCTTTAACCCGATCAGGCTGCAGCTCTCACCTTGTAGGCAGGCATCGTCCCCTCTGCTGAACTCTCCTTCCAGGCAGGTATCCACACCTTTGCCTGCACTATGACTAGCTCCTTCCCTTATAAAGGCACTTGTGGCTCTCAGGCCTAGCTCTTTTTGAATTGTTTCGGGTTACAGGGACCATGCAGCCAGCCAACAGGTCTGAAGATGCTGCTAGTGGGATCCCTGAAATAAATCCATAGAGGACACACAGTTCCAAAAGGAACTAACATACACAGCTTTATTTTTAACTCAGGAATTGCCCATATGTGCATAACATTACACTTGCTGTGACAAACTCAATAATATACAAATAATCAAATTATATCAGAAAGCATAGAGAAACTTATAATAACACAATAACATATTTATAAACGGGCGGGGAAGACAATAATTAACACAAGATATCTCTCCTGTCTGCAGAATTCACAATATACAAATCTACCAGAATATGCAAATTAACAAGAGTTGCTATTTAGGTAGTACATGCTTCACAGCCAAATTCACCTAGTTGGCTGAAAGCATGAGCAGGACTGGAGAGCACACAAACATTTAACAGTAAACAATTATACGCACTATGCTCCTATAATGTGTACAGGTTGACTTAAACATAAGACACATCTGGTAAATCACAAGTGGTTCAAACATACATAGATAGTTACATAAGTTTTAACAGCAAACCCAGTCACAAATAATTCCAGCCCAATGTGTAACAACTTTGGGGAAAATGGAGGCCAGCAGTTACTAAAATAGCTGTCAGAGAGAAGGGCAAAATGTATATGGTCCCAGCAATGGTGACTATGGTCACAAACCCTTTCAATTCATTCCACAAAGGAGTTTGGTGAGATTGTCTCCATCAATAAGGAGCAGGAGAGATGGCCACACTAATCAAATAAACTAGAAGGGAGTATTTATATATTTTAATCGAGGTAAGAATACAGATACAATGTTATGGAAAGATTCACAGGTATATAAAGAATACATGGCATTATTTTTCATTTACTTGTTCATCCTTTGTAGAGAGAGGGTTGGGGGAATGTAGAAGGAGCTAAAACATTTTAAACAATGGGATTCCAGAGGCACACACGTACTAATTACTCTGGAAGTGCAGTGTTTCAAGCTAAAACACTTAACATTCAGACTCGTACCACCAATATCATTTCAAAAAGCAGAAGTGGTCATGGTGGTTGTAGCAACACTTTTACCTTTAAACAATCTATAACAACTTAATCCTTTTATAATAATCTCCTTTTAAAAAAAGTATGTTGTGTGACAGTATTAAATCTGCTTTAAGCTGGTTTTAGTGATGACAGAGATTGATGGTAAAATATCTCACCTGTTACCTTATTCCAACAGTTCCCGACTCGGTTAGTAATCTGCAGCCAGGCAGATGGTGTTACAATAAGCAGTGGACATCCGCTAGTATCACAGGTCACTGAATCCTAATCAGCTGTTGAGTAATTCTCTGTATTTGAAAATGTTCATCTTTTTTTAGGTGTCAGCCAACAAGACTCAAGTTTGAAACACTAAGCCATAATTAAACGGACTTGCTATCTCAGCAAGTCAACCAAGCAGAGTAACCTTGACACAGATTTACATTAAACCAAGAACTGTACTGGCATCAAGTTTCCTCTGTTATTAGAAGTTGACTGTCTGTTGTCATAAAGGCAATATTCTAAAGCTAGCTCATCATGTTGAAGACATTAAATGTCAAAGTTCTATTTTTCCAATAAGGATATTCACAAAAGTGTGAATTCAAATTTTAGCCGAATTGGAAACCCAACAATTCACACGTTAGTGTTTGAATATTCAAGTCTTTTAAAAAGTTTATCTACTAAAGTGAGAATTGTTGGAAATTCAAAGTTAATTAAAATTTAAGGCCAAAATAGTTGAACTGGAAAAGCTCTCCAAGTCACCTATACTTTCAGTTTGAATACTTTGTCCTTGAATGTGAACTTCACATTCCCAACAATTCTCACTTTAGTAAATAACTGTGTATTTGTACAAATCATTGCCCCCTTGCCATCCTATTCCTAGAACCAGCTAATTTTTCATATTGATAGTGAGCGCATTATTTTATTATATTTGAACATTAGTCTCCTTTACATGATTGCATGACACTTGCATGGCTCACAAACACCAACATCACATGACTTTATTTCCAATGTCCTATTGTAGATCATCATATCGTAAGGGCATCAACCCAACCAGTTTTGAAGACATAATTTTTACACTCAAAAGGGGAGAGGCATCACGTGTTGTGAACAAAACGGTGATACAAGGTTGAAAAAATATAGCGATCAATATGGAAACCAATGCAATCACCAGGTACATTTTATCGGTGATTATTCCACTGTTACATCATGGTAGCATTTCTCAGATCACACATTGATAAATCTCAATAGATCTCAATCCCAGAGATTGAATTGCACATTTACACTTTCTTCAAAAGAGGAGGTCCCTGATGTGTTGGTTAAATAGCTGCTCTTCTCCATAACTATTTAAGCAGGACCTCGGGGTCTGCCTCTTCCTTTGCTCTAAAGAAGCCAATTGGATGTCACATGTTGATTGCTATCTTCTTATCTTCTGGAGTTCTACACTGTTGCAGTGACCATGGGGCAGGACCTTGATCCAGCTTATGTGAATGCCCACTGATTGACCATCGAAGGCACTCACCAACCATGACCCCAATGACTGCACCAACACAAAAATCCATCATGTGAATGACAGCTTAAAAGGACACTCCAGGCACCCAGACCACTTCTGCCCATTGGAGTGGTCTGGGTGCCAACTCCCACTACTCTTAACCCTGCAAGTGTAATTATTGCAGTTTTTTTATAAACTGCAATAATTACCTTGCAGGGTTAACTCCACCTCTAGTGGCTGTCTTCTAGACAGCCACTAGAGGGCACTTCCTGGATCATAGCACAGGAAACCTGTGCTAGAGCATCGCTGGACATCCTCACGCTATGTGAGAACCTCCAGCGTTGCTCATTTCCCCATAGGATAGCACTGAAAAGCATTTACAATGCTTTCCTATGGGGAGCTCTAATGCGCATGCGCGGCATTGCCGTGCATGCGCATTAGGTATCCCCGGCCGGTGGGCGGGATCAGTCTCGCCCACCGGCCGACACTGTCACAGGGAGGAGCGGCGTCGGCAGGGCCGGACTGGCCCACCGGTACAGGGAAATTTCCCGGTGGGCCGTCGGCACCTGGGGCCGGGCAGGCAGCTGGCTGACCTGCGGCCGCAGAGGGAGCTCTTTTGGTGGCCGCAGGGGGAGCTGGCTGTTCTTTCTCTGCTCCCCCTCCCCAGCGCGCCGCTTAATGAGACTGGGGCCGGAATATGACGTCATATTCCGGCCCCGGTCTCATTAAGCGGCGTGCTGGGGAGGAGGAGCAGAGACAGAACAGCCAGCTCCCCCTGCGGCCGCCAAAAGAGCTCAATCTGCAGCCGCCAGGAAAGCCAGCTCCCCCATGCGGCCGCCATCAGAGCTCCCCATGCGGCCGCCAGCACACAGGTAGCAATTATGTGTGTCAGTGTGAGTGTATGTGTGTGTGTGTCTGTGTCATTTGTGTGTGGTGTGTGTCTGCCATGGTGTGTCTGTCTGTGTCATGGTGTGTGTGTGTCTGTCTGTGTCATGGTGTGTGTGTGTGTGTGTCTGTGTCATGGTGTGTGTGTCTGTGTCATTGTGTGTGTCTGTCTGTGTCATGGTGTGTGTGTGTCTCTGTCTGTCATGGTGTGTGCGTCTGTGTCATGGTGTGTGTGTGTCTCTGTCTGTGTCATGGTGTGTGTCTGTGTCATTGTGTGTGTCTGTCTGTGTCATGGTGTGTGTCTCTGTCTGTCATGGTGTGTGCGTCTGTGTCATTGTGTGTGTGTGTCTGTCATGTAATGTGTGTCTGTCTGTGTCACGTTCTGTCTGTGTCATGGTGTGTGTGTGTCTGTATGTCATGGTGTGTGTGTGTGTGTCTGTCTGTGTCATGTAATGTGTGTCTGTCTGTGTCACGGTGTGTGTGTCTGTGTCACAGTCTCTCTGTGTCGTGGTGTGTGTGTGTCTGTGTCATGTAATGTGTGTCTGTGTCATGTTGTGTGTGTCTGTGTCACGGTCTGTCTGTGTTATGGTGTGTGTGTGTGTCAAGGTGTGTGTCTTTTTCAAGGTGTGTGTCTGTCATGGTATGTGTGTGTGTCTGTCATGGTATGTGTGTGTGTCTGTCATGGTATGTGTGTGTCTCTGTCATGGTGTGTGTGTGTGTCTGTCTGTGTCATGGTGTGTCTGTCTGTCATGGTGTGTCTGTGTTTCTGTCTATGTCATGGTGTGTGTGTGTCTGTGTCACGGTCTGTCTGCATCATGGTGTGTGTCTGTCATGGTATGTGTGTGTGTATGTGTGTTTTTACTCACTTTTTTTCCCCCACGTCGTGCTGGTCTCCCCTCGACTGGCCCTGCCTCTACGACTGAGATCATCAAGCTTGACACAGGAAGCACCTCTAGTGACTGTCTGAGTGTCTGTCACTAGGAAGCAATGTAAACACTGCCTTTTCTCTAAAAAGTCAGTGTTTACATTGAAAAGCCTGCAGGGACAGGCTATAGACACCAGAGCCACTACATTAAGCTGTGTGTGTGTGTGTGCTGTGTGTGTGTGCGCCTGCTACTGAGTGAGCTTGTGTTTTTATGTCAATGACCTTATGTATATCAGTGAGATTGTTTGTCTATGAGGCTGTGTATCAATCAGCTTGTGTCAGTGAGATTGTCTGTGTCTGCATGTGAGTATGCTTACTGTATAATTAAAAATTTTACTCTGAAAGGACCAATATTTTATATTGGAAAAAGCAATATATATATATATATATATATATATATATATATATCATCTAGGGCGGCAAGATATAGCCTTACATATTACATGCGACAATATATGGCGCAATGACTTATGGGGCTGGCATAGATTTTTTTTCCAGGGCTGCTTTGGAATCTCCAGTCCGGCCCTGGGCGGCGGAGGAAAGTTACTGAAGGGGTTTTCACCCCTTCAGCAACTGGGGATTGGGGGGGTGGGAGGGAGAGGGGACCAGCAGTGCCATGAAAACTGTTTATTTTCCTGGCACTGGAGTTTCCCATTAACAGTGATTGGGACTTTTAGGGCTAGGTGAGTCTGCTTCTCTCTCTTGTTATCTTGGAAATTTAGCATTTTCTACTTAGGTCCCTCTTTCCAGTTAGTTTTTTTACCCATAGGGAAAGGTTTGTTTGTTATCTGATACATCTTGTTCTTGGACCATATTCTGTCTAGAGGTTATTGTGCAGTCTACTCCCCAGGGCACAATTTTAAAAAAAAATCATGGAGATTTATTATGCAGCAGTTTGGAAGTATGAACTTTTTATTGTAACAATTGTGGTTTTAGTATTGTATTGTAATTTTATATACATTTTTAGTTGACAATTTTTTACTGTTTCGTTTCTTTGATATTATCAATGAATATGTTTAAATAGCTTTTTCCTGCACTGTGCAGTGGATCACATTTTTGTCATATCATATTTTCTATTTTGTTAACTTAATACATTTGTTTCTTTTTCAATACAATTTGTATTTATTTCTTTCTTTCGCTGCTGCTCTTGCGCACATTTTGCTCTGTTGGACCTTAGAGCCAGCTAAAGGAGGCAGAGCATCCCTCCTCCCCCTCCCCCCTGATTTTTTTGGGTGCAGAAAACATGAAAGTCAGATATGTTGTCATTTTTGGAACTACTGATAAGTGTGTTAGAAAAACAAAATGTGTCTGTCATGATTATATATGTCATCCATTCTCCCTTTTTGATAACTGGCAATTATTTTGTGGACCAAGAGCAAGATTATTTGTTTTTACAGTTTTATCCACTCAAAGTACATAAAATACCTTAATATATATATATATATATATATATTGTATTAAATATATAAAATGCTTTGTAAATATATTTGTATATACACGTTATCTTTTAAATTACTGAATTTCCAACAGTTGAGTACAATTTTAATTAGCTTTTAAAAATACAAGGCTATAGTTAATATTCAACATTATCTATACCCATCATATATTTTTCCTTTTTTTTAAAGTAATTGCATTGTTTTTACAAGGTGCTCTTTGCATTATTGCATTTGTACATTGTGCTGTTTGTGCTGAATGTTCTTCCTTGCTGGATTTTCTGTTACACATTAACTTTTGTTTCTTTCATAGTGGCCTTCACATTTCATGAGTCTCTTTGGGTTGTCGTGGATACCGAAGAGACCTTGACAATCAGAATTTGTTGGTATGCGACAGGACCATGGGTTTAAATTATACAGTGCTACAGTTTGTGTTGGGAGAACAGACTAAGATGGGTCAATCTATCAGGAAACAAAATTATTCTTGTGTTTTTTTTGGACCTATCATGGTATATCAATTCTATGAAGATTAATAGTTTATGTAAAATGAAGATGGTCAGATTACTTTGTTTAATAATTGTATTCATCTAGAATGCAGGGGAGTAAGACTGTCTGTGTAATGGCAATTCAATAAAAAATGAGAAAAAGTTTAAATGTAAAATAATTTACTGTGTTAAATAGGATGAGTTATTCAGTGGGTGGCTACAATCAGCTGGAGTTCATAGGCGTGCGCACAGGGCGCCCGCGGCACGCCTATGTATATTGAGACCGGCAGGGGAGATCTCAGGATCTCCCCTGTCGCTCATGCAAAGCCGGCACTATCCGAGCGCCAGCTCTGCTGTCGGCCTCCCTCCCCACCGACCCACATGCAGGGAGGGAGGAAGGAGAGGACCGGCGGAGCTCTTGCCGGCAGCTCCGCCGGGTTCCTCTTGCGAGATATGAGCGTTGCCATGGCAACACTCAAATCTCGCCAGAGTGATTTCTAACCCCACAGGGGCTAGAGTTCACTCTCCACTGGACCACCAGGGATGGAAGCAGCAGCAACATGGATCCCCCCTCCCTACAAAAGGTAAGAAGGGAGGGGGGACATCAAGTAATGTACCTCCACCCCCACAAGCACCTACACACATACAGCACCCACAGACATACACAGCACCCACACAAATACAACACCCACAGACATACACAGCACCCACAGACATACACAGCACCCACACACATACACAGCACCTACACACATACAGCACCCACAGACATACACAGCACCAACACACATACAACACCCACAGACATACACAGCACCCACAGACATACAGCACCCTTACACACAGCACTCTCACACACACACAGCACACTACCAGTACCCTCAAACACAAACAGCACCCTCACACACAGTACATTAACAGCACCCTCACAAGCGCGCACACACAAACACCCTCACCCACATACAGGGGCGGGCTGGGAAGGGGGGCAGGGAGGCAATTGCCCCCAAGCCGCTCTAAACCCAGGGCCGCCCGCATCCAGCAAAAAAAGGAAAAATCTGAATCCCCTGCTTTTGGCTGAGGACTCAGATTTCTCAATTTACCTCACTCTCCCTGCCGCCTGCAGTCAGTGGTGTCGGCCGGCCTCTCCTGATGATGTCAGGAGGAGGGGGCATGACTTCCTCTGCTCTTCTCAAAGGACCGCTGGGGAATCTGGGAGAAGAGCAGAGTAAGTCACGCCCCCTCCTTCTGACATCATCAGGAGAGACCAACTTCACTGGCTGCTGCTCCTGCTGGCTGCTGCCAACCCCTCCCTGGCCTAAGGTAAGACTCAGGGAGGGGGGAAATACACTTTAGGTTTTTTATTATCCCCCTCCTCAGCCCCTGTCCCCTTAGTCAGCCCCTGTCCCCTCTCCTCAGACCCTGTCCCCTCCTCAGCCCCTGTCCCCTCCTCAGCCCTGTCCCCTTAGGCAGCCCCTGTCCCCTTAGTCAGCCTCCTCAGCCCTGTCCCCTCCTCAGCCCTGTCCCCTTAGTCAGCCCCTGTCCTCTTTTACCCAGCCTCTGTCCCTTTCCTCAGCCCTGTCCCCTTCTTCAGCCCCTATCCCCCTTCCTCAACCCCTGTCCCCCCCCTCAGCCCCTGTCCCACCCTTTTCCTGCTCCTTTCCCCCTCTCGGCTCCTACCCCCTTCCTCAGCACCATGCCCCCCACTACAGCCCCATAACATCCTCACTACAGCTCCTCTCCCCCAATTGCAACCCATATCACCCACGCCACTGCCCCTTTCCCAAATTGTAGCCCCTATCCCCCCCCCTACATTTCCTAAACCCCCAATTACAGCTTATACTCTCCACTACAGCCCTGTCCCTTTACTCAGCCCCTGTCTTCTGGTTTTAAAAGTGTAAAGTTTGGGTGTATGAGTATGTCTGTGTGTGTCAGTATGTGTCTGTGTGTGTCAGTATGTCTCTGTGTGTGTGTGTGTGTGTGTGTCAGTATGTCTGTGTGTGTTTGCGCCAGTATGTCTGTGTGTGTGTGCCAGTATGTCTGTGTGTGTGTCAGCCAGTACGCCTGTGTGTGTGTGTCAGTATGTCTGTCTCTCTGTCTGAGTCAGTATGCCTGTAACAGTGTGTCTTTCTGTGTGTTTGTGTGCCTGTCATTGAGTGTGTGCCTGTCAGTGTGTGTTTTTTAGTGTGTGCCAAATCAGCAAGTGTAAGTGTGCCTGTCATTGAGTGTCTGTTTAGGTGACTGCCCCCCTTTCAATCATATGGGAAAGGTGTTTTTACTCTCCGCTTGGTGCAATGGGCCTCTTGACTCGATTTGCCCCCCAGGCCTAAGGCTGCCAGCCCTGCCTTGCCCACATAGCACACTACCAGCACCATCACACACACATCACACTAACAGCACCCTCACACAGCACACACACACACAGCAGCATACATACATATATATATGCGGCGTGTGCTTGTGCTTTAGGGTGCACACCCTAATGCAATAGGCTGTGCACGCCTATGCTGGATTTATTAGATTTTATAAATACATTGAGTTAATCCCTAAACAGAAAATTGAGAGAAATCGACAAGGGAATTGCAAACTGTAAAATTGAGTTGGAGATTTCTTTTCTGATTGGCAATTAGTGGATCTACACAGAACAAAATTATAAACGCAACACTTTTGTTTTTGCCCCCATTTTTCATGAGCAGAACTCAAAGATCTAAGACTTTTTCTATGTACACAAAGGCCTATTTCTTTCAAATATTGTCTAAATCTGTGTTAGTGAGCACTTCTCCTTTGCCGAGATAATCCATCCACCTCACAGGTGTGGCATATCAAGATGCTGATTAGAAAGCATGATTATTGCAAAGGTGTGCCTTAGGCTGGTCACAATAAAAGGCCACTCTAAAATGTGCAGTTTTATCACACAGCACAATGTAACAGATGTCGCAAGTTTTGAGGGAGCGTGCAGTTGGCTTGCTGAACCAGAGCTGTTGCCTGTGAATTGAATGTTCATTTCTCTACCATAAGCCGTCTCCAAAGGTGTTTCAGAGAATTTGGCAGTTCATCCAACCTGCCTCACAACTGCAGACCACGTGTAACCACACCATCCCAGGACCTCCACATCCAGCATCTTCACCTCCAAGTCCAAGATTGTCTGAAACCAGCCACCCGGACAGTTGCTACAACAATCGGTTTGCATAACCAAAGAATTTCTGCACAAACTGTCAGAAACTGTCTCAGGAAAGCTCATCTTCATGCTCGTTGTCCTCATCGGGGTCTCAACCTGACTGTAGTTCGTCATCGTGGGAAAATGCTCACATTCGATGGCGTCTGGCAATTTGGAGAGGTGTTCTCTTCACGGATGAATCCCGGTTTTCACTGTACAGGGCAGATGGCAGACAGCGTGTATTACGTTGTGTGGGTGAGCGATTTGCTGATGTCAACGTTGTGGATCGAGTGGCCCACGGTGGGGTTATGGTATGGGCAGGCGTATGTTATGGACAACAAACACAGGTGCATTTTATTGATAGCATTTAGAATGCACAGAGATACCATGACGAGATCCTGAGGCCCATTGTTGTGCCATTCATCCACGACAATCATCTCATGTTGCAGCTTGATAATGCACGGCCCCATGTTGCAAGGATCAATTCCTGAAAGCTAAAAACATCCCAGTTCTTGCATGGACAGCATACTCACCAGACATGTCACCCATTGAGCATGTTTTAGATGCTCTGGATCGAAGTATACAACAGTGTGTTCCAGGACCTGCCAATAGCCAACAACTTTGCACCGCCATTCAGGCCCGAACTGGCCATCGGGCATACCGGGTAAATGCCTGGTGGGCCGCGATGGGCGTGGGCCGAGGCTGGCAGGGAGATCACAGGATCTCCCCGGCCGGCCCCTGCAGGGCCAGCGCTATCCAAGCGCCGGCCCTGCTATATGCCTCTGTGGGCCGGTGGGGAGATCAAAGATCTCCCTCACCAGCCCAGAGGCATGGAGATGCGGCCTCAGGCTGGGGAGAGAGGGAGGGAGGGAGGAGAGGACCGGCGGAGCTCTAACCAGCAGCTCGGCCGGGTACTCTCGCGGGATTCCGAGCTTGGTGCGGTTACCGCGGCAACGCTCAGATCTCGCGAGAGTGAACTCTAACCTGCAGGTTAGAGTTCACTCTCACCTCTGGACCACCATGGAAGGCAGCATGGCTCCCCATCCACCAGGCAGAACGGATCTCCTCCCCCCCCAGGATAAATGTAAGAAGGGAGGGGAGGGATATATATATTTTTTTATTAATAAAACAAATATATTTAAATTTAAATTTAAATAAAAAATACAATCACTCACACACACAGCACCCCCAGACAGACACACAGCACCCAGACAGACACACAGCACCCAGACACACACAGCACCCTCAGACACACACAGCACCCAGACACACACAGCACCCTCAGACACACACAGCACCCCCCAGACACACACAGCACCCTCAGACAAACACAGCACCCAGACACACACAGCACCCTCAGACACACACAGCACCCCCCAGACACACACAGCACCCTCAGACACACACAGCACCCTCAGACACACACAGCATCCAGACACACACAGCACCCTCAGACACACACAGAACCCCCAGACACACACAGCACCCAGACACACACAACACCCAGACACAGCACCCAGACACACACAGCACCCCCAGACACACACAGCACCCAGACACAAACAGCACCCAGACACAAACAGCACCCAGACACAAACAGCACCCCCCAGA